TTTTTTTTTTTTTTCAAAACGATAGATATTTTATATAAATAAAAAAATGCACAAATGTGCCAATACACAAATACAAAGCAGCTAAAAGCTGAAAAGTGGGAGGACGTGTCTGGAGACCGCCTAGAAATCGACCCCAACAGAGTAATAAACGGAAAACACAAAAACACTACTACAACACAAAAAGACCCCAACAGGGTAATGCCCGAGTGTAGATCCCAACAGGATAATAAAGACACACTTGGGCTCACTGAGGCCAACGGCCTAAATAAAAAATACAGATAAAAAACACACAACTACTGAACTACGAAACAAACAAAAAACACAAACTAAACTGCCAAAAACATAAGATAATAAACGAGCCCTGCCTCAGCTGCAACACCTAACCGAACCAACGAACATAGGCCAACCACAAATCCCGTAGCCAGAAGCACCGGCCCCGAAACGGCCAAACCACTCGGTTGCCTAACGGAATCGAAGCCTCAACCCCAGAATCGTAACAAGCCGACCCGCACCACGGCCCCAACACCCAATTGCTTCCAAAAAGGCAACGGAGTGCCACGACCCCAGCACCGGCCCCAATTCGCCTGGAAGCTGCACAAAAACCACCACACCACCGCTGCAACACCCCGACCAACATCGTTGGAGGAAGAATTGAAGCACCGGCCCCCATCGACCCAAAATCCGAGACCATAGGAGGTAACCTTGAGCATCTACGCAGTCCCAGTGGCACAACAAACCAATTCGCCGAGCAATCGAGTCGCATCCTGCCCTGAAACCGCACACGGCTCCACCACCTCACGACCGAGCAGCCCCCAATCTGGTTTTACGGAACTATGCCGGAGCTGCGAGAACCGTCCGCAACCGACGATGACTCGATCAAAAGAAAACTAGAGGTAGAGCAGAATAAAAGGGGCGGGATCCATACGATTAGGGGCCGGCGACCGCCGGCTAAGCACGGTGGCCGCTGAGGAAGGCGGACGGCTACGCTTTGGAGGAGAGAGACGAGGGTTTCTTTTCGCTTTTTTTATAAAAACAACTAATATACCGCAGTTAATTTATTAAGTGTTTATACTAGTGTCGTAATCCAAAATGTAAAATTTGAGCACGTGTTCATTTACATACAAACGCTATTTGTTCATTTAGTATTCGACTAATAATTTGCGGTATGAATTTTCTAAAAAAAAAATTAAAATCTTATATCTTTCTTACCCGTAAAAAAATCCTTAAGGTCATTTAGAAAAACATAAATAAATCACTCCGAAGGATGGAGGAATAAGGGCGGGATCCCCAACCTGTACAAAATTTAAGACCATACAAGGGTGAAGGTTCACAAGGTCTACATGTGACCAACCAAATACATAAACCAAAAATCAAAAGTCTACCAAAAAGGGGAATCTAACCCTAGGTTGTAAGGAGTCCAGGCGAGCGGTCTGACCCACTAAAGGGTCTGCAATACAAGAACAATGCTTAAAAAACTGAAAAAAAAAATCTAAAGAGAAAAAGGAAACTAAACAACTAAAAGACAACCGGAATCTAAATGAGTGATAGTCGTCCCGATTCATCCGTACGAGGGTGCGGACGCAAAGCGGGGCGTCGTCAGGGCCAAAAGTTCCCCTCTAGGGGGTGGAGGCGTCGAGGCTAGCAAAAAAGTCGGCGGGACGGTTCCCCTCTTGAAAAATGTGCGAGATCTGGTGACGGACCAACTGGAGTGTAGATTTGATGCACTCAAAAGTCGGCGGGACGGTTCCCCTCTTGAAAAATGTGCGAGATCTGGTGACGGGCCAATTGGAGTGTAGATCTGATGCATGAGTGGGTGTTGTATCTGCCACGAGCTCTGGTGGCTCGAGGTCAAGAGGGTGGCAACAGCGGCAATATGTAGCTCAATCCTAATGTGAGTAGAGATAGATGTAGCAGCCTTAAGACCGATACAGAGCGAATGAATCTCCACGTCATAGCTCGAAGAGGCCTGAAGAGGGGCATGGAAAGCTAATATGAGAGCTCCGGTGTGATCACTGATCATGCCCCCTCCTCCAGCGACTCTTATGAGCTAGTAGAAGGATCCATTAGTGTTCAGCTTGACCCAAGGAGAGTCGAATCTCAGCCAAACAATGACTCTGTATCGTGGGTGCTGGACAGGCTGTATAGTGGAGGCAATATGAAACCAGGGGGGTTGCAACCTGTCCAATCTGTAGGAGTGAGTCTGTCTATAGCAGTGAGGAGGAAAATATGTCGATCGACCTGCAAAACAATGTGAGAACTCATTAAAGTAATAGTCCTATGTTTCGCACTATTCTTCTATGTCCAGATGAAATACAGAACAATGGATGAGGCCAGGAAGCCCACGTGTATGATATGTGTGTTGTGCGAAAAAAACTCAAGAGCACAAATAGATTGTCTATGGCGGGAAGGAATATGTTCTGTTATTGAATTTATTTGTTTAGTTATCGGTAAAAGTTTGAGTTCCATTATATTCGAATAATTTAGTAAAGAAACTCACTAAAATTATTTAGTTCACTGGAGTTCAGTTTGTTTAAAATTGTTTGAGCTCAAAATTAAAGAAAAAAATTATTGAAATAAAAAATAATATTATTGTGCTTTATATTTTTTATTATACTATACATATATTTAATAATTAAATTTTGTACTAAATTAATATTTGTGGACCCTATCAAATGTACACAAACAGTTTAACAAAACGTTTGGTTCAATTATAGTTCTAATTTGGACAACCTAATAGTCCCAATAAATAATGTGTTTCACATCCTAATTCTACCTTCAATTATATGTTTTGTACGGTTTTGCTGTGAAGTCAACAGTTGACTTCATAGTGCAGTCAACCTTATATATACATCAAATAAACCTACTATATTCTCTAATTACTTAAATAACACTAATATAATTTTATTAGTATGGTATGATTTATTTGTTGTATATAAAAAGTTGACTTCACTATAGAACCAACTGTTGACTCCATAGCAAAACCGATATTTCAAGTATTGATCCTAGTTATATGCTAGGTGTTGGTTCCATAAGGGAACCAACCGGTTGATTTTATAGCAACATTGCCCCTCTCTAATCTACCAATTAAAATGGGAAAGGGTATAATCCGAGCAAATCAAATCAAAAATGATCTTACCTATTTAATTATTTATTTATATATATGGTTTGATAATCATGTTCATTATTATAAAACTTTAACTTAATTTAATATTATGCTTATTGTTCATGGCCATATGCTTTTGTCTTAGGTATTATATTATAAAAAATATTTTAACTTTACCAATCATTGTGTTGAGTAGTTGATAAATATGGGTGCGTGGTATTCAACGTGGTGGACCACCACACGGTAGATGTGACGTAAAAGCAGAAAATGTTTTTTTTTCTTTAATATGAGTCATATGACTAATTTGCCCCTCTCCCGATTCAAATCGAACGGCCTTTCAGTATCTCAGAGAGTTGTCCTTTTCTGTCTTTAACTCGGACCCGACATCTCTTCTCTTCCATGTTCCAATCCAAGATTCTGTATTTCTAATAAAATAGTTGTTTAATTGGTTTATTCCTTTATAAATTACGGAAAATTCCTCCTAAATCCCCAACTCTCTAATTCATTTCCTGCTCAGTCCCTACCACATAATTTATTTCTCCTCAATCCCCATTTGTAATTTCTCTTTCCTTCTTACTCCCCATATATATATACATGTTATTAATTTTAATTTATTTTGTCTGGATAGTAAAAAACTCGCCCTCTCTCTCATTCATTCTCGATCTGCACTCTCTCTCTTCTGAAAAATCGCTCTCTCTCTCTCTGAAAAATCGCTCTCTCTCTCTCTCCCGGTCGGTAAATTTCATCGCCGATCATCTCCGATCGTTTGAGGTCTCTCTCTCTCGTCCATCGCTGCTGCGTTTGTCTCTCCTCCGGCGGTCGTCCATCGGTGCTGCGTTTGTCTCTCCTCCGGTGGGAAGCAATGGCCGGCGCAAAGAAGAAATCTGCTCCCGGCGGGCACAAACCGTCCTCCTCCTCGACACCAACCAAA